TAAAAACATCTTGGTTCATTACCTCTCCTCTCACGCCTCTCACACGAAAAGGGCGCTTGTGAGAAACATGTTTCGAACATCAACCATTGTGTGAACAGAAAGAGTGCAGAAAGAAGAGTGGAACTTGGTGCGGTTAATAGCCATTTCCAACGGCTACGAAACTGTAACTTCTCGGGACAGGTTTAGAAGAAAAGCCAAGCTCCCTAACGACAACTCCACCCATAATAAGGTCCCGTTTATCCTGCCTTTCATTTCAAATCAAATAAGTGCAGCTATAAAACGTTGCCTAGGAAAAGCCGGTCTAGAAAATTCGGTAAGAATAATCGAAATACCACTGAGCACTCTAAGAAACGAACTAGCTCGCAATCGCCTTTATGACCGCCTATGTACAACGCAGAATTCCATAATTTTCTCCATTGGTAGAGATGGTGATTGCATGAATTCGAGTAGTTTATCTGATCTCTTGTAAAGCGTGCGGAGACGTATACATTGGCGAAACAGTTAGACTACTCTGCGCCCATACCTAGCCGGTAAACCTAAACCAAATAGTCTACTAGGCGCGCATAGAACACGGAGACATAACGGGAAAAATTTTGAAGTAGGGGTTACGATCCTCGCACAGGAATCGAAAACAGGCGCGAAAAATTCTCGAGGCATTCTGGACTAACTCCAGTAGTCCGAAAATGAACCACAGTGAAGAATCAGAAGTACCGTGGATTTATCTGCATTCCAAGCATCGTAGAGGTAATTGAATGCATATCTGCACTATACAAGGGCTTTCCGTGGCCTACCTATGTATCACGTCATTTTTTCATCCTTGCAGAAAATTCTGGTAGCAATTAGCCGAGTCCAGAGTGATTGGAACAGTCGATGACTCCTAATCGCAGAATTGAACCAGCGATCGGTACATTGTACAATGCAAAGCACCTCTAACCACTGCGCTACACGCATCCTGGACATTCCGTCACAGACTTATATCCTTCAAATGGATTGCTTTATTATTTATGTAAATGTATGAGTGGCTTTATTAAGATCTGTTTGTACTTATAGAAAAAAATTGGTGGACATAAAACTCTTAATCGAGACAATAACCCGCTCTTCTTTATGCTTCTGATAATTCTCTCCACGTTTCTTTATGACCCATCCTTTATATATACTGGACAAGTGCCAACAATTCTCACATTCGATTCGTTTCTTTGCATCCATCATACACGAAAGTCTTCCAACTTTTGCATATGACTTCGACTTCTGCTTGAGGATTTTCATTTCATCTTGAATGTCGTGTAGAACGCTCGTAGAGTCGATTCTCCCTGGTGCTCTTTGATAGCCCGGCTGGAGCATTACCAAGTGGATCGAAGTTACTTTTTTTCCCAGGAAAGTCCAGTACCAATTTCCCAACCCCGAGGGATGACAGGCTTTGTGTGCCAGAAGCGGGATCGAATAGGGACCGTGCTCGAGATGATCAACATCACTACCACTGTGCTATCCGCCGCTTTGATAAAAATGTCTTTTTAATTGCAGGAGTCATATTTTCGTCTGTATATTGTGCTCCTAAAATTACACGACGGTACTAAATAACCCGATTTCATTCCATGTCAGATTTAACCGTTGACCCGAAATTTATAGCACTATCTTGAAGTAAAGTATCCTTACCTTTCTCTCTTTCTTTTTTTATTAAGGATTTTAAAATGGCTACCTATGGTACAATGAAATGTCAGTAATGACTACAGGGAAGAAGTGTTGCAGTAAAAAGGTGATGAAATTGAACAAAAATTTTTCAACGTGTGTACTGTAATGCCCTCAACAATGAAAACTAGTTAAGGAATGGAAAAGAAAAATGAAAAAAAGAATGAACGAAAGATCCAAGAATAAATACGGACATCTTTTGCCGAACGAAATGTCAGCAGAAACAACTAGAAAACAGTGATAGATTGACTACAACTAAGTCCTAAATATTACACACATCGTCCGATGGTAAAAGTCTTAAAGAGGTTCCACAAGTAAAAGGTGTTTTATTTCTTCTCGGCTTTTCCTTAGTTCTTCCGCAATATTTCGAAGCTTTCCAGCCATTTCTGATCGCGAGCCGTTCATAATATCCTTAGAAAAACGTTCATAAATCGTAGGTACTTCAAGAAACCACCTCGTGAAAAATTTTTATGAACCGCACGGCTTCGCGATTAAGACGAAGATTGTTTTTTCTTTGAAAAGACTAACTTTGATTCAAAAGCTTTGGCATTTCCCGTAACAAAACTAATCTGTCCAGATATACAGATGTTTATATATAAATATATATATATATCGATGTTTCCAGCAGGAAGTCTAGCTAAAAGTAAACCAATACCAGGATCCACCACCGTCCTGTTATCAAAGTCGCATGGTGGTAAATCTCCCTCTGATGCACAAGGGCTGCGACTGCCTGTGGTGGTGAAAACCTGAAGCAAGACTTTGGCCAGACTGACCTCGGGACTCCAGGGAACCATAGTGGCTTCACTAACAAATCTCCGAAAAATGGAGAATATGATGGGACCGGCACAACCAGTGAGGACGGGCCATTCAAGTATCTAGTATCAAGTATATACATATCATATTTCATTTTGCAGAACACAACTACTTGTTCTGTGTGCATCCCAGAATTTCTCGCGTTCGTTTATTTCTTCCGCATCCAAAGTCCATGAAAGCCTTCAGATTTTTTATGATATAGAAAACATAAACGCTCAAAAAATTCATAGAAAACAGTTCCTATGAATTTTATCCATCTCCATTCTCTATCTTTCCTTTCACCAGTTAGTCCTGCCAAGCGATCTAGTGTATTTCAAGTTATTTGACGCAATGCCCACGTGCCTGCCCCAAATTTGTACCTCTTAACCACCAAGAGCGCCACCGGAGACGGCAATGTGGCTTGGTGACTTTACCCAGCGATCTTAGCCATTCCCTTGGATATCAGTCACAACCCAAAGCAGTGCCATTTGCCTTCAGACGACGCGTAAGGATCGCTATTGCCCTTCCTAATTTGCTTAGAATCGAATACTGCCAACTAAAATCTCGCGCTCTTGCTTCAGCAATATATTAACGCCATCTTAATTCCCGCGTAACCGCTATGGGTGGCTACTCTAGCAACGATCTCAAATACTTGCACTTTCTATGAGTACAATTAAAAAGCCGCAGAATCTTTTTTCTCGTTGCTAGTGCAATCTCTTACTTACACCACTTCTGCCCACTGTACCACTTTGCAATTTTCTTTATATACATTTATTATCTTTGCATGATTCTCCTGTAAATACCATGTATATAAAGGGCTTAATTATTCACGTGCATAATTAATTGTGGATGTTGGATGCGAGGAAACGAAACGAATGCAAGAAGTACTGGGATCCGCACAGCAGATGTGATGACAGGTCATGTAAAAAAGGTCGCTTTAAAAAAATTATCCAAGTTTTAGGCTTGGCGTATCGCTACGAATCAAGAAGATCTGAGTGGTAGAACCAACCACAACAGCGAAACCTTCACTACGTATGATATCCGCCTAATTGTTGAGGACACTGTTCTCTTCATGAATACCGCACAGTACTGGTCGAATCAAATGTCATGTCCTAAAATCATAAGGTAGCTCTGCTTGCATGTTTTCGCATCTGCACGACAGGCAATTAAGCCTTTCCAGATTGAAGTGAGTGATGTAATCCCATAAAGGCCAGTTGCAATTTTACGGCTCCGGCGAGATGGGGTGTCGGCATGAGCTGAGATCGAAAAAAAGCTTCGCACGCATGAACGGTATCATTACAAGTGCATTGTCTTGCGTCTATATATATCTAGGTATATTTCTATCATTTTACACGACCCGTTATCACATCCATTGTGCGGATCCCAGCACTTCTTGCGTTCGATTCGTTTCTCCTCTCATTTACCGTTCACAAAGGTCTTCGAATATTTTTCTTCTTGTCTAGGCTACTGCTTGAGAATTTCACCTTCTTTATGAATGTCGTAGGAATGCTCGTTGAGCCGATTTTCCTGCAATCTTAGGGATAGCCACGCTAAGGCGTTCCCACGTGGACTGAACGAGAGCTTTGGAGAAAGGATTGAAGCAGCATTTGGAACAGCATCTTGCTTCCTGATGCATTTCGTTACTAACCACTGCGCTATCGCTCCTGCATATATATGTATATATATATGTATATACATATATATATACACACATATATACATATATATAATTGGATATTTGGATTGCACGTCGTCACTAGGTTGTGCGCACCCTAGCGTAATCCCCATTTTTTCGGAGTGTTGCTGGTTTAGTCATTGTGGTTCCCTAGAGTCCCGAGGTCAGCCAGGCCAAAGTCTGCCTCAGGTCGTCACCACCACAGGCAGTCGCAGCCCTGTGGATCAGAGGGAGATTTGTCGCCATGTTTGGTACCAGGACGGTGACGGATCCTGGTATTGGGTTACTCTTAGCTGGGCTTTCTGACTGAAGCCCTAGACTCCTCAGCTTGCAAGACCCTGCTATGGGGATGAATCCACTCGCTGTACATGGCGACCCGACAACCAGGAACGACTCCCAGCTACGATGAATGACCTGGTACATCATTGGATATATATATATATATATATGTATACATATGTGTACACGCATGTGTATATGTTATATTTATGCATATGTATTCTTTCTTTGATGAGCTTACACGAGGTTGATAATGATGCTTATTTTCGGCTAACGTTTCGACGTCTTCGTATATTTATGCATATATATATAGTCTGCATACATATACATACATATACATATACATGTATATACATGTACATATACATATGTACATATACATGTATATGTATATGTATGTATGTATATGTATATGTATATATACATGTATATACATATACATATATATACATATACATTTATATATATACACATATGTATATGTATATATATGTAGAGAAAGAGAAAAAGCCTAACCTTTATCCTTAACTTTCACGTTCGATATTTTGTTACTCCATAATGTTAAAAATCATAAACTATGTGGGAAATACTGCATGAAAATACTTGTGAACCGTCTAACCTTCACACTGAGAAGAACTGTTAGAACATCGATCGCGATACTAATACCCATAGCTGCATGGACTGTACCTTTCGCAATGGCCGACTGCACTGATGCCTGGCAACAATAAACTCTTGAATTTGGAAACAGATTACTTCGAAAATGTAAAAAAAGGAGATCCACATTTCCACCTACGGATTCTCGAAGCAGGAGACGAACACCTCCACCAGCGACCGACACTGCACCGATACCTACACCAGAAATCACTGTTTCTTTATCGAAATGACTACTCATTTGATGGCTCACGTTGATGTTATGCTTCTGAAATTTCCCTGTTTATTAATATTTGAGTGGGCACTTTAATTTTTTGCCTATTTAGACGGATATAGGTGTTCATCACATGCACTAAGCAATAAAAAGTCTATATAAAAGCTTTAAAAGCTCTCGGCGTTGATCAATCCCTGAGGCATGCGCCATGCATTCAACTTCATTAAGATCGTTTGGAGGTGATTGAATGCATATCTGGCCTTTACAATGACTCACGGTGACCTACCGATGTATTGAACCAGTGCTATTGTCCACCCAGACAAGTCTGGTACCTATTTGCCAACCCCAGAGGGATGGAAGGCTTGGTGGGCCATGAGATCGGAGATCGATTCCACGAATGTGTTGCAAGGCGCCTCCGACCACTACGCCACACCCAGTCTACATAGAAAGTCTTTATGTCCACATCCATGCTTGGGATCTCAAGAACAATACGTAAAGTCTTGGCCAAATAGAAGCAAAAAGAACACACCATTAGAATTGACGATGTTGTTTTCTCAAGTGTAGTTACATTGTTCAATAAGATTTGTCTTAACTGCTCATCATGTTCGAGCATTAATTTTGCAGCTGCTATATTCTTCTAAAGCATCGTATTTGAAGTAATTACTGAATAAAAACAAAACAGTATATACCTTGAGATTATGCATCTTAAGAAGAGCAGTGCCTAAGTTTGAGGCAGCTGCCACACCACCAACAGCAAGACCTATATGATGTCTTTCACATTTTTCATTTAAACACAATAAAATAAATTGATTCATAAAATACCTTGTAGGTAAACAACGGAAAGTGTTAATACCTGCTATAGCAAGTGGGGGCATTAGGATAACACCACCAATTACTGCAGTCCCACCACCAATCCCGGCTAAACCACCAACCACGGAGGAAATATTGCAACCATGTTCCCATCTATCGAGCTGAAGCATACAGATAAACAAATTTCTTGCTAAAGAGTCGTGAGTTTTAATGGGTAATGTTCTAAACAGTAAGATTTGTCACCAGCTGAGGTATGCCGATTTGAAAAATGAAATTATTTTCTGCGCTGAGCGGACAAAAGAACGCAAGAAAACAGCAACATACATTTAAAATTAGAGGGGTTGTATAAACTCCCAGCGGTCTACCGCCTCATCGTGGCTGGGAGATGATCCTGGGTGTCGGGTTGCGATATACAGCGTGGGATTCATCCCTCGGCAGGGTCTTCCAAGATGAGGAGTCCGGCGTTTGCACCAGAAAGCCCCGCTGAGCGTGAACCAATACCAAGATCCACTACCGTCCTGGTATCGAACTTATCGCATGGTGGCAAATCTCCTTCTGATCCATAAGGGCAGTGACTGCCTGTGGTGGTGACGAGCTGGGGCCGACTTTGGCTAGGCTGCCTTCAGGACTCCAGAGAACCACAGTGGCTATACCAGCAAAACTCGAAAAGAATGGAAATTATACTGGAGCTCATAGAACTACTGAAGACGGGCCATCCAAACATCCAAGTAGGTACAAGTAAGTAAGATGCTGTACAGAGGATCCATACAGCAAAATTTAAGGTATGATATAAAATACCCAATAAAACAATAACGAGTTGCTAAGGTGTCACTTTTTCCATGTAATTACACGAAAAACTAAGAGTCTAGCTGATGGAAGTTAAACAAAAGATAAGCCGATGATAGTAAGGATAGCAAAGGATAAATAAAGCTCTCAGCGTTGATCAATCCCTGAGGGATAAGCCATGCATTCCACTTCATTAAGTATCGTTTGGAGGTGGATGAATGCATATCTGGCCTTTACAATGACTCGCGGTGGCCTCCTAGCGATGTATCGAGCAAGTGCTGCTATCCTTCCAGACAAGCCTGGTACCAATTTGCCAACCCCGGAGGGATGGAAGGCTTGGTGGGCCATGGGCGCGGAGATCGATTTCACGTGTGTTGCAGGGTGCCTCTGACCACTGCGCCCTTATAGATAGGATACGTCATTTAAATAATGTGTTCTTGATGTCACTAATCAGTTCAAGACAAAATAGGAAAAGAACTACAAGGATGCTGTGACATTGGAGCAGAACGAGGTACCTTAGCTGGGGTTTGAACACGCGATTACCCTGCTAACCGCCACACCAACTGAACTCCTTGTTTTGCCTTTCTCTGAGCTATAGCACCCATCGAGTAAAAACATAGCTGAGAGAAAGTCTTAGCAATGGCCTACGTTGGTATGATGGATAACACATGAGTCCTTGGAAAGTATGATCACGTGTTGGAAGCCTACCTAAGGTTCCGAGTTCTGCTCATATCTCAGTATCCTTGTGGTTGTATCTCACATCATATCCTCATATCTGCAAGACAGTAAAATAAATGCTCCGACCTAAAAGATCAGTGAGGACGAGCTATGTCTGTATCTAAACACCCAAATAAGTTCCTTCTTCATACCTCGTCTGCAATCGTGAGCAGTGCTTCCTCCGTCTTTTCTCTCTGATCAACCCAACAGTTCAAGAAAATCATAGTTCTATCATGGGCGCTCTTGTATTCGAGAAAATCGTCCTCAGGAACCTATAACACTTCCACTCATGTCTGACAACACATAACATGAAAAGGTAAGGAAATATTTCCTCAACCAACATTAACTGACCAAAACTGTCCGAGCCTGATCATCGAAACGAGGAACACCATCGACATTTAACGGCAGCAACCTCAGCTCAGAATCCTTCATTGTAAACTACAAAAAGCAAGCCTTCCTGAGAGTTAGGAATTTGTTCTCAAGAACCCTAAATATGATAGTTATACCATCATTGTAACAATAACAACCTCCGCATAAAGTTGGAATCCAATTGCAAACTGCCAAATCGCCACTGTTTTCTCATTTTTTTAAACTAGGTAACCATCCAATATTTCACCAAAGCTGTGTTATGTAACGTCAGCCTGACTGGGCTATCCACGGCAGACATATCCGGCTTTGAGAGGCCTCATTACCACTGAAACCTAGTCTCTCTAGCTTTCCATACACCAATTCATTCATCATCTATCAAATGCTAGGTTGTGACGTCACATTCTAATACTAGATCTGATTACATTCACAATGGTGCTGAAATATTTGCAAAACTCCCAACCGCAGGTGTCTCCTTAAAATCCTGTTGGCGAGTGGTTGCTGATGGCACTGGTAGATAGAAAACTAACTGAAAGCGAAACGACCCACATGGTGTGGTGGTGAACACGTTAGCCCCCAGAAAGGGTAAAAGCAGGTTCGATCCCCACCGAAGACACCTGCGGTTTGCAAATATCTCAGCATCGTGGTGGTTATAATTCACATGATGCTCTGCCGTGAACAATCATAGTACACAATAAATAAAAGGTTAACAAGATCTGATGTTATGCTCCTTCAACAGCTTCCCACTACTTGATTTTGCTTCACCAAACTGCTGTGTTGTACGAATGAAAACTATTTACCATGTTTGTACAGACGGCTCAGCTATTTAGCAAGTAGTAGTGATGGTGTCCAGCCTACTCTACACGTCTAACGAACCTTGTCACAGTTAGCAAATCTGCAGTTCTACTTAGAAAACAATAGGATAACCCTGCAAATGATGCAACATGTAAGAGCGAGGCGTGCTATAACCCCTTTACCAACAAACTCCTGAACAGTTTTTCATGATGCTCTATCAGTATTTACTTCTAGGCAGATAAGCATGTTAAAGACTGGCAATGACGCCATTGATCCAGAACAGCAATGCAGAAGTGCTTTCCATTGATAGTTCGAGCTCTCTATCTCTGGTCAAATTCACAATGGGCTTGTTGTTTTCGAAACTATTTCTGTGTAGAGATAGAGATAAACCACCGGTTACTCTCAGTCACCAAGAATTCGCAATAAAATAAAGATGAAAGCTCTTGGCGTTGATCAATCTCTGAGGAATGCGCCAAGCATTCGGCTTCATTAAGCATCGTTTGGAACTGATTGAATGCATATCTGGCCTCTACACTTTATCTGAGTGACTCGTGGTGGTCTACTGGTGTATCAAGCCTATGCTGCAATACCCCCAGACCAGTCTGGTGCCAATTTGCCGAACCTGAAGGGACGGAAGGCTTGGCGAGTCAGGGGAGCAGGGATCGATCCCATGCGTTGCAGGGCGCCTCCGACTACTGCGCCACACGCCTCTCTTGAAATCCGATTAAAATTTAGAGTACCACACTATGACACTTCTTACTGGTGTTCCTTACTTACCTCTCTTGTTAAAAAAATCAATAATATCCCTTAGAACTACTGAACTCAGTCTTCCTCTTCTAGGCATTTGCTCTATTAATCTCAATTTACACTTAATATTCAGCTTCCTGTAGAGACCTATCTTTATTCCATGGTTGTGAATATTCTACCAACTGTCAAACATGGGTAGTTGAACGGCAGACGGTGTTCGCATAAAAGAAAAAGAAAACAAAACTTGTTGTTCAGATCTACAAGTATTGAAAACACGGATGGATCAGAGCCAATATTCTGGCATATGGGCGCATAAACTACACTTTGCTACAAAGTTTATATCAAAACCCCTCAAAGAAATCGATCACATATAAAAATAAATTAACATAAACCTTAATTGAGTGAGGAAATGAAAAGAAACGAGTGATGAAAACTATATGAACACCTCTCACTAACAGACCACATGCTTTTCGCTATCGAAGATTATTACTGTTGGGAGTACGACTGTATCACATGAAATGATGTATGTTTCAGAAATCAAAACAATAGAAACTAGGTTCGTCATAAAAATTTCCTCTGCATTAATGGATCTAAAACTCATATTCACCACACATCCTGTTGACTTTAACGAAAGAAATCGTCAGCTAACGATCCTGAAACTAGCATCTCTCAGTACAAGTAAAGAAAGGGAATGGATACTAAACAAAAAGACCAGCTCTTAACAAACTTAAAGCACCAAAACCAAGGAAATGAAAAGCATAGCAACGTAAACAACTAAAGTAGAAAAGATACTACCACCACAGCATAAAGCAAAACAACTGAAATACCAAATCTCTTACTGAAAGTGAAACTGCCGCTTATGATTTCGCTGGTGTACGCTAAAATAAATACCCAATTCTCTGCCTTGGGTTCACGCCTACTTAATAAACAATGTAGAGCACGAATATTAAAGCAAACCGAATAGGTGGGTTACCTACCGACATGTAGGATGACAATGACATAGAAAGTGAAGAGAACTTCTCAGCAACTTTTGATGCACCAGCTCGCAGTGAATCCTTTATATCAGACATTTCGGGAACCTATAATACCAAATGACGAACTGCCCACTTGAATAGAATACTAGCAATACAAACATAACTACGACAAATGCTTCTTGTTGGTAAAACTATGATGATCTCGATAACACAACAAATTCAGTCGAAATATGATCGTTCACCTGGGAATACTGAGGCTGACTTCCTTGTCCCCATAAATCCGCAGAGCCCAATGAAGACTGCCCTTCAAAACGCGAAAGCGCTGCTTTTGTTTCATACTGTAAACTCAGAAATGTAAACGAGTGCACACCTATACAACGACTTTTCGTTTCGAAAGACCTCATTGTCATATGAATTTCGGCACCTTTATTACCACATTCCGTTCTGAAAGTTTTAATAGAACATAATTAATAACGATCTCCCCCAACGGTCTACCGCCTCATCATGGCTAGCAAGTGTTTCTGGTTGTCGCACTGCGATGTACAGCGGGGAGATTCATCCTACCAGCAGGGTCTCCCAAGCTGAGAAAGAGTCTGGGGTTTCCATCACCAAGCCCAACTAAAAATAAACCAACATCAGGATCCACCAACTCCCGATGTCAAACTAGTCGCACGGTGGAAAATCTCTCTCTGATCGAAAAGGGTGGCGACTACTTGTGGTGGTGACGATCTGGGACAGACTTTAGCTAGGCTGACCTTGGGACTCCAGGAAACCACAACAGCTATGCCAGTAAAACTCCAAAAAGATGGAAATTACACTGGACTCCCATATGAAGCGAAAAAGGACCATCCAAGTGCCCAAGTAGTAACGATGAGTAAGGAACCAAGAATGAAATACGAGAAAAACTAAAACACACATCCATTTCGTTATTGCCGAAATACATGTCACTAGAAATAGACTTCGCTCCCGCGAACTTTTTTTGAATATCAAACTCAGACACCGGTGCAGATACAACCTTTTTGGAGGCAGCAGTCCTCGTTGTGGTCCTAAAGAGCTGTTACTTCACACAGAATCTCACAAATTGCTATGTGAATCAACGAACTCTTTTTGTTGCTGATCATCCCAGTTGTCAAAGAAGTCTGCCTGAGGTTTTGTGGAGAAGTTGGTAGTAAGAAGATCATCATCATTTCTTTTATCACTGAAAATATCAAGACACAAAAGAATTTTCATGTAAAAACAAACAACTTATATGTATATATGTATTATATGTATATATATGTACATACATATATGTACATATGTTACATACACGTATATATCTATGCCGGTTTTGCATTATGAAGTGGGATGTGGAGGGAAAGTAAGAAAAAAAAAGATTTCTAAGCAGAACTTGACAGCAACCTTTCATCCACAACTTCCCAGTCTTCTTCACCTTTTCGCGTCGGTGATATGGAAGTCATAGCACGCTTTCCGAGGTCAACCTGGAAATATTTCGAAGGCATGTTGCTCATTTATAGAACAACGCAACTGCTAGAATATTCATTTAACACGCACTTGTCGTATCGGCTTTACACCTTGTGCTACGGAATGAGCTGCACAGGGTCTTCCAAAACCACCCATTCCTAACCGGTCGACTGCTCCCGCTTTTTGTGGGTCTGATGACACCTTGGCCTCAAATAAAGCAACTGAAAAAGTGACAAATGACGAAAAAAATGTTATAGTGGGGTTTTCGTAGCGAAGATATCAGCTCTCCATCTAATTCGTTAAATTCAAAAACCTATGTAATTCTACGTAACAACCTTGTGTGAGCTTATCAATGCAAAAAGATACCTCTAAGTAATGTTTAAAACGTATGTAATAGCGATTTTACCATACTGAGTGACCTATGTCCATTACTCAGCATACCTCAAGTGTTTTCTTCTGTATGTCCTGCATAGCCAAGCGAGCACTGAGCTTTGCAACTGGTTCACTCCGTACATCTTGATGCTCCGATTGAGATACGCTCACTCCCACCTTAGGCAAAATGTTACTGGTTTTTTTTCCGATAGGTTGAAAGTTTCACGCAACTCATGATATTATGATTATGTTACATACCTCATTACGGCTTTTCTCATGCTCAGACGCTCGTTGCTCCAAATTTTCGAAATCTATATTAACTTTCTGAGCTCCTAAAGTCGACTTCTTAGCAGCCTAAAGCATTGAGTGGGAGTACATCTACATTGAAACACTATGTTTTCAAAGAGCATAAATTATAGTTAGCGATGAAATTGATCGCCGAGAATTTAAACAAATACGTCGTTCATCAAATTAAAATGAATAAACTGAGATATTTGCAACACTCCGGACCGCAGGTGTCTGCGGTGGGGAATGAACGCGCTATTACCCTTTCCGAGGAGTAAAGCACTTCACCACCACACCGTACAGGTCCTTCGTTTCGCCTGCCTCTCAGCTTGTTTTCTATTTACCAGCCATCAGCAATCACTCGTTAACGGGATTGATCTGGGGAGAGACAGGTGAAACTAAGTACCGGCATAATGCGATGATGAACACGTTAGCCCCCGGAAAGGGTAGCAGCGCGTGCGCTGCCCACCGCAGACACCTGTAGTCCGGAGTTTGCAAATATCTTCGAAATTTTATGGTTGCGTTTCACATAATACCCTACCGTAAAAAACTGTAGTAGGCAGAAAATAATAAGGTTAACATAATGAATAAACTGACACCAGATTTTTTTACAGGTTTCTTAAGAATCCGCGTAACATGCGGTGCTGACGTTGCTACAGCTTCCGAATCGAGGTGATCCACTTTAGGTCCTGAGGATTTATAATTATTCGGTATAGGAGTTCCGATATAAATTATAGAACTCTCTGAAAATTTTCATCTCTTCTCACTACTTCTCACTAGTGGAATTGATTATAAAAACTACCTTGTTCTCCATGGATGTCCCCACACTGTTCTAATGTTTCGTCTTCCCTTGCTATGTAAGCATCACTCCCTAACGAAGTTGCACTTTGTGAGGCATGAACAAGTACCTGGGTGAAGAAATCTTCCTGAAATCGAGATCGGTAGATGTACTGCTTCCTGGCTTTCTCTACGATTGAGGGAAAATTAATCGCTATGTTAATAACTATTTACCTCTTTATGTTCCTCAGCAACAGCTGCTGTATCAATGAAGATTGCGTTGCCATATTTGTTTTGAACCTCTATACATAACTGTGCGAGCTTTTCCTAAGTACGAAGGACGATTCGATAGTTGCCATGTGATCATCTAACTGCGACTTGGTAAACACAACAATGAATAAGCTAACCTTGTATAATTGTGCAGCTCTACTCTTGTATTTAATTTGGGCATCATTGCTATTGCAACCATGTTGCTTGAAGAACTGAGTCTAAAACTAATGTTAATTGCGAACGAATTCTTGGAATAATTGTGATATCCAGTCTCTGGTCATGTCAAAAGAAGGAACGTATGGGTAAATAAAATATCGCCGAATCATCTGAAGATTCAAAACTCTTCGTGAACTGCTGAGAACCAAACACACCGCATTTGCGTTGCCGCCTACTTGCATGGCTCGCAGTTGCAGCCATGTCCAGTTCACGTCCAAATTTGTTGAGCGGACAAATGTTAGGTGTACTCCCAAGTTGCGATGAGTTGCTGAGCAGTCGATACACAAAAAGACACCTATACAGATTTCATTATTTATTTGATCAGGAACCTTTGGGAAGCTACGAACTATTTCAGAAACGCAATACAATACAACGTTAGTTGACGTTTCGGCAGTGTCGCCTTCTTCAGAGCCGCTTTTTTCGTGACTTCCAATGAGGAAGTTTAGAACAGCTGATTATAGTCTGATAAATTAATAAGTCTGAATAGTCTGAATAGCTGATAAACTTCCTCATTGGAAGTCACGAAAAAAGCGACTCTGAAGAAGGCGATACTGCCGAAACGTCAGCTAGCGTTGTATTGTATTGTGTTTTTTTATGGAAGTAAATGTATGCTGCTTAAAAACGCTGAACAAAAAAACGACACATTCATATTCCAATGCCGAGGTTAACAGAAAGTCGATCCTGGGAACTATTTCAGAAACATATCAAACACGTGTTCCTTCATTGATAAGCTAATAAGAGGTTGACACAAACAATTTTACTCGGCTAACGCCTAGGTCTCTTCGTTTTCCTCAGAGCCGATGATCAAAGTTGATGTCTACAGTCGTTCGTAGCCTCGATGTGGTGTCTTCGTCGTCGCATTGAGTCGGATCTTCTTGAGTAGAACACGGAACCTCACTCGGCGATGCTCTTTTATACAGGACGATTGGTGTTGATACTGATTGTGTGGTGAGGTTGCCTCAATCAAGCGGCGCTCTCCTGAAGATGCGACTCAATGTGACGACGAAGACACCACATCGACGGAACTAACGACTGTGAACACTGACTTGGATCATCAGCTCTTAGAAAGATGAAGGCTTCGAAACGTTAGCCGAATAAAATTGCTTGTGCTGACCTCGTGTTAGTTTATCAATGAAAGAACACATCTTGATTAGTCATACTGAGGTTAAGAAAAAGTCGATTTTTGAAATATGTCAAAAATGCTCCAGAATTACCCTTTGGTTCTTAGTACACATTAACGACATCCACGTTGCATAGAAAATGGATAACAAAAAAACTTTTACCAAAAAAAAAAACGTTACCGTATGTTACGGATGCCCACGTAGGATTCCTTGCACTGCAATCGAAGCACAGCTGTAACAGAAACAGTAGCAAGGATGCTCAATATAGTCTGTATTAGTTTTATATTCTTTTAAATTTATACACGCATTCCAATTTTCCCAAGTAATTGGTTCCTCCTTTTTCAACTCTAATCCCCGACCATAGAAATTATAGAAACACTCCCTCAAATTAAGAAAGAATGGTAAACAATGCTAAAATGTAGTAGTTTGCCTGCACTCATATTTCATTTATTGTTACACGTTCTTTCGAAGCTTCCTCCAACACCCTCACCCACCCACCTCAAATTTTATAGTCCTTAGTTTATTCATTATGTTAACCTTATTATTTGCTGCCTACTACAGTTTTTCACGGTAGGGTATTATGTGAAACGCAACCATAAAATTTCGAAGATATTTGCAAACTCCGGACTACAGGCGTCTGCGGTGGGCAGCGCACGCGCTGCTACCCTTTCCGGGGGCTAACGTGTTCATCATCGCATTATGCCGGTACTTAGTTTCACCTGTCTCTCCCCAGATCAATCCCGTTAACGAGTGATTGCTGATGGCTGGTAAATAGAAAACAAGCTGAGAGGCAGGCGAAACGAAGGACCTGTACGGTGTGGTGGTGAAGTGCTTTACTCCTCGGAAAGGGTAATAGCGCGTTCATTCCCCACCGCAGACACCTGCGGTCCGGAGTGTTGCAAATATCTCAGTTTATTCATTTTAATTTGATGAACGACGTATTTGTTTAAATTCTCGGCGATCAATTTCATCGCTAACTATAATTTATGCTCTTTGAAAACATAGTGTTTCAATGTAAATGTACTCCCACTCAATGCTTTAGGCTGCTAAGAAGTCGACTTTAGGAGCTCAGAAAGTTAATATAGATTTCGAAAATTTGGAGCAACGAGTGTCTGAGCATGAGAAAAGCCGTAATGAGGTATGTAACATAATCATAATATCATGAGTTGCGTGAAACTTTCAACCTATCATAAACAGCTTTTTCTACTTAAGCTAAAAAGGTCCGATAAAATTCCAGGGTATGGTGAACATTTATAGGGTAATAAAGCAATGTCTCCATCTCCATTCAATTTCCAAGAATCTTGTTAGTCCCACTAGAGATCCACCACATTTCATTGAGAACAAAGCTGTTCCTACTTTTTGATAACAATCTTCGTGTTTAATAAATTAGTCGCCCAGAGGGCAAGAACAATCCATGAATTTATTACCGACTACACTCACTTTGTTAGCAGGAATTGACCGTAACTTCCGCAATGCGTTTTGAAGCTCAGCCTTCGAAGGAACGCACTCATCCCCCATTCGTAATGCACCCTAAATAAAAATGAAAAGTGTTGAAAACACTTTCCATGCTCCGCTATCACCAATTTAAAAAAGAAAAGAAATAAGAAAACACAAAAAAGAAACATTCCGGCACCACTTGCCAACGGTCGGTCTGAGTTCAACGTAGGCACAAATCTCAGAGTTCTAAAAATTGATGGGATAACGACAGACCAGCAGGATATGGCACTTTAGCTTAGTCCTTGGAACTTTAGGGAAAAAAAAACTGCATTCCAAAAAGTCAGTAAGTGAACCATTTCAGCTCACCCACAGCCTGTTTATGCACTTGTGTAGAAATAACAATAACAATCCTTTTATTCGACTATTAAGCTAACATAAGGTTGGTACAGAAGACTTATTCGTCGGTCATTCCGATGTCTTCGTTCTCTTCAGCCTCGGATTGATCTAAGTCGACGATCTACGGGTGATCGGAATCAATTCGGTTCTGATGAAGACGAAGACGTCGAAACGTTAGCCGAATAAATCTTTTTGTGTCAATCTCATGTTAGCTCAATAATCAAAGAGGGCCTCGCTCGACTTCTTAAGGCACATTACTAACAATCAATCATAATGAGGACATCAGGAAATGGGACGACCATTTTGGCCGCGTTATCATTTTTATCACTGATCCAAGTTGTACACTGTTTCCTTGATAAGCAAAAATGTAGTTAACAGTGAAACCTATTCAATACAATGCTGGCTGGCGTCACCCATGTAAGACCCTGTACGGCTGGTTTCCAGCAGCTTACTAGAGGACTTAAGAAAAAGATGAATGTTTAAGAGAAGCCGTTCACTACGCGAATAGAGATTTGTGCATTAGCTTTCGTCTGAGGTTAAGAAAATGTTTGACTAAGATGACTGTGTCAGTTTGACTGTTCTAGGCTATGAAGAAGGCGAAACTAACGACACATCAGCCAGCGCTGTATAGAATAAAACTTACTATTAACCAGGTACGTGCAGCGCACTGGTCAGAGGCACCCCGTAATACACATGGGATCGATCCCCGTGCGCCAGGCTCACCAAGCCTTCCATCCCCCGAGGTCGGCAACCTGGTACCAGACTTGTCTGGCAGGATAGCAGCACTGGCTCGATACATCGGTAGGCAATTGCGAGTCATTGTAAAAGCCAGATATGCATTCAATCACGTCCAACGACGGCCAATGAAGTCGAATGCATGACTATCTCTCAAGGATTAATCAATGCCGAGAGCTTTATTCTTATTATTTCTTATCCATTCTTAACAGCCTGGTGTTTGTTCGCCAAAAACAGTGGAAACACCAACGATTAATGCCGAGGTTAAAAGAATGTTGGTCGTCGGATTTGCTGAAGTACCAGCAAAACCTAACTTACTACGTAGAGTCTATCGTACATGGCAATGTCAAGTTGATGTCTAGAATGAACACCTAGAGGAAGTATGAAATAGACGAACGGTAAAATCAATTATGAAGCCGAAACCATTGATGACATCAAGCGCTACGAAGCCACGTGTTGCAGAATTTCATACGCGGACATGGAGAGTTCAATTGGAGCGTGATTTATGAGTCTATTTCTCAATGTACTAAATTCTTGCAGAACATGTTTATTGTTCTTGCTCCTCTAAACTTTAACTCTTGTCTTCTAATAAGCTTCAGTGCCTTTCCATTCATATTGTATAACATCCTAAAATCCATATTTCGTATCGTTTTTGTTCCTATTCTATTTTGTGTTGTTTTTTGAGCCACTAGAATGGGACATATCAGAACAAGTATGAAAAGTTTTTTGTATGACAAGTCTCACATTTTCTTTTTCGTTGACGTCGGCCACAAGTACTTTACGGCTGCGCTAAAACCATGCTCCAGGTGGTAGGGACTGGGAAATTCAGGGGCTGATTTCAGTTGTTGTACAGGTGGCTTACATGTGTGGCAAACATATCGGCCCTTATTTTTGGATTCTGTCAGGGTCCACTGTAGTGTTGTACTTTTCCACTGGAAACACACTACGTCTAATCTCGAAAACAGTATGTTCTTCGAAAATATAAGCTTCGAAATCCTGCTTGGTGTTGAGTAGGTGAAGATGCAGGTTGCTCTCAGTGAACTGGGACGGATTGGATGGTGTTGGCCTTGATGTTACTTTCTATGAATGTGGTCGACGCTGTAAAATCTCTTCCGAAAACCAGCTTGCTGTTCGTACGGATGCTAATTTAATCCTCCCTAATGCTCCTTCCATACAAACAGACGGCATGCGGAATTTTCCACTTTTTAAGTAACCATTCGATTTATAGGTATGACGTCATGTTTGCTTCAAGTAGGGTATTGAATTTGTGGTTTCCAGGTCACTGAAGGTAAACCGAAGTTTATCATGCTCTGGGGACGAACTGGGTAGGCGCAATGAAGACAACATGTAGGTGCACCTTGGGCGTTCCATGGACATGAAAAGGAAAATAAAGGAGGAATTAGACAGAAGAAGGAGAGCAGTATGAGGCGCATTCCAGCCCCTCAAAGAAGCCACTGACTAATTGGAAGACCCGGAACTGCGTGTTCACCTTTTCGATTCAATGGTTCCATCAGCGCTGTTATGCTGGCGTGGGTCGGTACTTCAACCACTTCAAAAATACTGCCCGCTTCTCATGTATCCCCTGAACGATGTCTTTCTTCTGAAGCATAACCAACACACGCACAATATCTATCCGGAACGCGAATCCTCGTCTCCGAGATCCAGGCGAAGAACTGTAGAGTGGACTCCACGAGGATGCAGGGGTTCCCTAGAGCAGCCACCTACACATTGGGCGGATATGTTTGTAACGAAAGTCAGACAACTGGACTCGCAACTGCAGTTGATTACGGTGTGAGATTCTCACTCGCCATCATGCTCGAATAAAGCCATTACTATGAACGGTG